CTTCTAGTATCGTTATTGTTTCTTTGAACATATTAAGCATCAGCACATCTCTTAAATGTGTTTTGCTTGGGAGCTTATATCTGGGATCCAATACCTGACTGTAGTTAACAATGCCTTCATTTTCCACTATATTATAAGGCTGTACATCCTTTGCAATCATTTCCGTTAAAGCCCTGTCAATGTCGTTCTTTCGTTTTGAATTAGTGTCGTACAAAAAACAGCTCTTTTAAAGTAAGAAGCTACAGAATCCATATTTGATCTACAACTGCTGTCGGTATCCTTCGAAGTAGCTGCAGCTGGAGTGCTGGAGTCTGAGACATGAACCAAGCCAGGATGAAATCTTTTTAGATGATCGTTCAAATTGGACGTATTTCCGCTGGTTTTATACTCCTTTCCGCAGTTAATGCAATTTGCAAATTTTTTGTCTTCAGAAAAATATTTCCAGACTTGTAAGATTTTATTTTTCTTCTTATGTGTTTGCCTCTCGGTCGGCAAATCTTTCTCCGAGTCCGTGCTGCTGCTATCCCATGCCTGCATTTCAGCGCTGGACACACTGAGTGTGAGGGAGCTCCGACGTTTACCTTAAATTCGACACAAAGTCAAAACAACGTATAACTACTTTAAAAGTAAGCATTATACCTCTTTGAAGAAAGCGGTCCATTTCTCTGTATTGTATCACTGATTTTAATTATAAATGTTTTCACAGAGACAACGCGAATTTTTTTTTTTTTTGGTGATGTGAAATAAATACTATCGAAAGTGGTTGGCTACTGATTGAGCGTAGAAGCGTGCGAAGTTCCACAGATGATTTCCCAAAGAAATAAAGACGAGAAATCGAGTTCCAGTTTCTTCACAATATATAGGTTTATTCGTAGGGTTTAGGTAGTCGCGTGCAAAAAACCGGCCGTTTTGCTTAGGGTGGAAAAGCGAATTAATGTAGATCGGTGGCACCCAAGCTGCCGAGGGCTTTTGGCGGGGAGAGCGGGAGCGTGAGCGTGGGCGGGAGCGCAAGCGTGGTGAGTATGCTCTTAAGTACGAGGGCGAGAGCGAGGGCGACCGCTTGTGTAGCTGGAACGCTAACAGCGATGTGTGGCTGGAATGCCCACAGAGCGGTTGCCCCGCCAGCGCCGTCCTCACTCTGAACATTCTCCACCCCCTCGCAGGAGTGCAAAGATTTTACGTCTGCGTGCACGCACCAGACACGATCCATCCAAACACCGTGCTTTGAGCCACGGGAAGGCCGTCTGCGCGGGCGAGGAACCCAGGTTGGATGACCCTTGGATACAAATCTGCACCCAAGACGAGCGAGATGGTCGTCGGCTTGTGGAACTGCTCGTTGGCCAACTTCAAGTCGTCGAAGCGAGCACGGACGGTGTCGCTCAGTGGACGGATCGGCGTACGGACGCGCAGGCGGTGCTCGATTTTGAAGACGGCCTCCACTTTGAACTCTCCTGTCTTCGCCCGGATCATGGCGGTGCACACCTTCTCATCCCCGATGCAAGTAGTGGGCAATTTCAGCTCCCTAGCCACCTCGGCTTCGATGCAACTGACCGGCGTGCAGGGGTCGATCAGCGCACTCATCACCTTAGTGCCTGCGAGGACCACCATCGCCGTCGGGGAGGACGTTGATGCTCTGGTGCTGGAGCAAGGAGTTTGCTGTCAAGACTGGATTTCCGACGACAGGGCGGCTGACCGGAAGACGAGGGCGTGGTTCGGCGCGGGAAGACGGAGGTGACGCCGACGGTGCAGAAGAGGAGCCAGCAGGGCGCCGAGTCCCGGGCAGGTGGAGCAGCGTGTGGTGGTTGCGGGAGCACACCTTGCAGAGGTCTCCACTGAGGCAGCCCTTGCCCGAGTGCTCATGAGCCAGGCAGTTAGAGCAGTATTTATGCAGGAGGACGGCTCGGAGTCTCTTCTCGACGCTCAAACGGATGAATTTCCGGCAGTTCCTCAGTGGGTGTACTCCTGGACACACTCGACATTGGAAGGAGGTCTTCCCTCGTGCCCGTGTGCGATCCGACCTGCGGCTGGATCGGGACCGTGAGGACGTTTGAGGGGCCATATCTGCAGTCTGGAAAAACTAGGATGAAGGAAAGAAGTCAACGAAGCATTAGTAAGGAGCTGGCACGGGTTGGCAGACGGATACAGATACGGGTACGGATACGGATGATTGAGCTGGATTTAAGCATAACAAAAAGACGGAGGCTTATGAATCGGAGCCTACGCGAGAGTAGGTGGAAAGGACCTCCGATTCCATAGGCAGCAGAACCACCTTCGTGATCGGTCTCTTGATAAGGCCGCGGGCCGTGAGCAGGCTCACCACACGGACCTTATCATCGGCTCCAGGATACGCGTTCTGCACACGGCCGAGACGCCATTCCTGAGCGGGGATGTTCTCCTCCTTGATCACCACGAGGTCTCCAATCTCCAATTTGTTACGCTTGTGCAACTCTCGCAGGTACTCTGTCTTCCAGCGCGAACAGAATTGCTGGTTGAGAGCCTTGAGATGTTGCCAGTGGTTTAGGATGGAGGAGGCGCTCGCTTGTATTTCTGGCTCTGCCACGGATAATAGCGGACCACCAATCAGGAAATGGCCTGGACTCAAAGCCAACGGATCCGTTGGATCCTCAGACATAGGAGAGATTGGTCGCGAGTTAAGACATGCCTCAATTTTGAAAGTAAGTTCGCGAACTCCTCTAATGTGTATTTGGACGTACACATCGACCGTTGGAACAGATCCTTGAAGCTCTTCACACCTGCTTCCCACAAGCCCACCATATGTGGGGGCTCCGGGAGGGATAAACCGCCATGATAGCCCCTGCTGGCTGTACACCGCAGAAGTCCGAGTGCGAATGGCTTCGAGAAGATCCACAGCCAGAGAGCGGGACGCGCCGACAAAATTCCTGCCGTTGTCGGATTGAATTCATGAGGACAACCTCGTCTCGCGACGAAACGAGCGAAGGCGGCTGGGAAGGTGTCGGTGAATAAATCGGACGTGGCCTCTAAGTGGATGGCCTTCGTGGCAAAGCAGACGAACACGCACACATACTCCTCTGAGATGCGACACACGTGCCCTGTGAAACTTTTAACTTCGAAGGGGCCGGCGAAGTCGACTCCGGTGTATGTGAACGGCCTGGAGAATGTGACTCGTGAGGCAGGAAGGTCGCCCATTAGCTGGGTTTGAAGTCGCTTACGATGGAGGACGCAAACCTTACAAGAATGGATCACTGCCCTCACTACGCGACGTAGTCGAAGGATCCAGTATGTTGCCCGGATAAGGCGGATCGAACCAGCAGGCGAACCAGGAGACATGCGGGTGGCAACAGGATTGGATGCCGTTCGTTGTAGGACATGGACGCCGAGGCTTGGACTCGGCCACATGCCCGCATGACTCCGTTCTGGTCAAGGAACGGATTAAAATTTAGAAGAGAACTCGTAGTCGGGAGTGGCTGCTTGTTTACCAGGCACTGATGCTCCCCCGCATAATGGAAGCGTTGGGTTGTTAGGGTGACTGCTTGGAGAGCGGCAGCGACCTCCTTCAGCTCCTTGGAGACATGGGTCGTCTGCCCTTTAACTTGCTGGGTGAACCGCCGAACGTAGCGATCACGCGCAGAGCGCGCCCGAGTTCGCAGAAACGGCTGATGATATCGGAGGTGCTGCTGGTGGCATGGTGCCAGTGGCATAGCTAGGTAGGAAAGGGCCCCGGTGCAAAAAAAAAAAATTGGGGCCCAACCTAAAGTGAGATACTTTATCATTAAGAGGGTTTTGTGTGAGCTTTATTGATTAATAATTTTGGTATTAGGTCATGAGGTAAATCGAATTCTTTATTTGAAAATTTATGTGTTCAAAAAACTTTATTGTACATATAACAAAATTATAATCTTTATTTTGCCTTATTTCGGAAAATTACAATGCTCGACAAAATTTAACTTTTTATTTACGATTCGAACAAAAAGAGTAAAGGGGTATATTAGATTTGTGGTAAAAGTGGATGTGTGTAACGCAGAGATGGAAAACGTTTCCGACCCCATAAAGTATATATATTCTTCATCAGCATCAATAGCCGATTCTATGTCTGTCTGTCTCTTGATGAACGCCTAGATGAAATAAAAACTTCAGTAATTCTCTGCACGAAAAGGAGAGCAGTTGCTGAAACCCAGCCTATTGGACCCATGCTATTGGAACTGATAAATCATAAGCTCACAAATATATATACCGACTGAATACTGGTATAAAAGTAAAGTCGCGTCCAAAGAAGCGTTCCTTCTCGTTTTTTTAAATTTATTTTGTTTTGTTTATAGGTGCATATTGTTTAATGAAGAAAAGGCTCATCTGAAATTGGTTGACAAACCCTCCGAAAATTATATTTTACCATTTGGAACGTTGCTCCAGCCGTTTCTCCATAGAATTTTATGAAGAATACTTTAAACGACGCTTAATTATACAAGTCGAATTCATGCTTGCATTTCAAACAAAAGTGAGGAGTTAGAGATATTTTGGTGATTTTCTGGTCAGAGTATGGGTCCATAGCTTGGGGGCCCCTTAAGCTCAAGGGCCCCGGTGCGCCGGTCTTGCAAGTACGTAGCTAAGCCACTACATGGTGCACATTGACGACTCGCTTCTCCAGGTCAGTCTCAAGGACTGAGTCCCGCGGACAAGGCCACTCCGATTGTGGGCCACGCAACCAAGCAGGGCCATGCCACCACAAATCACTTCCGACCAGGTCAGTGGGTCCTTGCCCTCGACTGGCCAGGCCGGATTATCCTCGGATCGGACGTGGCTCCATCGCTCGCTGGGCCAACATCGAGTGATTTTGGCTATTAGATTTCCCACGAAAGTGGTCCAATCTCATGCAGGTCTGTTCAGCCAGGCCAATACAATCGTGGAATCGGTCCAGAAGGGCACAAGGCTGGTGTCTAGTGGCAGTTGAGGAAGGATGGCCTCGGAAAGCTCTGTCAGAAGGACGGCTCCGCACAGTTCGAGTCGAGTCAAGGAAACCGTGTTCACGGGGCCACGCGGGTTTTGGCTGTGAGAAGGGCACAGACAATGCCCTGCGGTCGCTCAACTCGGATGTAAATCGCTGCCCCATAGGCACGTTGAGACGCGTCGCAGAAGCCATGTATCTGCACCTTGGTCATCGGACAAACGTGCAACCACCGCGAAATGCGGATATCCTGGATGGCCGGAAAACTCTTCAGGAACGTCTCCCAGGTTTGCGATAGATCGCTAGGGAGGACGTCATCCCACCCTAACTCTCTTAGCCAAATTTCCTGCATGAAAATTTTGGCTTGGATGACAAAGGGGGCAAGCCATCCCGCTGGATCGAACAGCTGCGCAATCTGCGATAGCACTTTGCGCTTCGTACAGGACTCCCGTTGAAGTACTTCGGGAGGAGCAAAGAAGAATTCATCGGCACTGGCTTGCCATCGGATCCCCAATGTCTTAGCGATGCTACTTTCTTCAAGCTCTAGGAAGTCAGCTCGAAGTAGGTGGTCGACCGGAATATCGCGCAGTACGCCCTTGTCGTTCGCTGTCCACTTTCGGAGTGGAAACCCCGCGGAGTCGAGTGCTTTGCGTAACTCTGAAATGGCGGTGATTGCCTGCGACTGAGTGGAGCACCAGCCAGCACGTCGTCCACGTACATGTAGCTCTCCAGGATGTCGCTTGCCATTGGCAACTGTGGGCGCACCTCTTGTGCGAGTTGCTTAATGACGCGAAGGGCGAGGTACGGTGCGCAATTGACTCCGAAGGTGACAGTAGCAAGTTCGTAGTCACACACGTCCCCATTACGGTCGCGAAAGAGTATTCGCTGATATGGCGTGTGTTGGGAAGACACTTGGATCTGGCGGTACATCTTGCTGATGTCGGCATTGAAGACATAGCGGAAGACTCGCCACCTCAGGATTTGCATGGTCAAGTCAGACGGAAGGACTGGCCCCGAATGCAATGTGTCGTTGAGGCTTTTCCCGTTGGAAGACGGGCTGGAGGCGTTGAAGACCACACGCAGTTTGGTTGTGGTGCTGTCGGGTTTAAACACGGCGTGATGCGGAAGGTAGTAATGGCCGGAGTCATGACTGGGTGTAACCGCTTTCATGTGGCCTAGCTCTAAATATTCCTGGATAACGGCGTCGTACTGCTCTTTGAGCGGCAAATTCCGCTGCAGACGCTGCTCGTTTTTAAGGAACTGGGCCTGTGCCGCGCACCTGGAGTGTTCTAGATCGACATTTTCTGGACACTTGAAAGGGAGAGTAACAATATACCTCCCATCGGGGGCTCGTTTAGTGGTCTTGCGGAAGTTTTCCTCGCACACAGAATCTGACTCACTCGTCGGTTTCCCGGAAGGTCCTCCACCTCCCAGAATTTGGTGGGAAGCTTCTCGAGTCGGACGTCCGAATCTAACGAGAGCTTCGTGGTGAAGGCGGAAACCGTCCGAGTCGAGTCAGCTGATACCGGACCGGATAGGACCCATCCGAAGATGGTCTCTTGTCCCAGCAGCGAGCCACAAATGTCAGACCGGAAGCCGCTCAACAGGATAGAAGGAAGGATGTCAGCGCCTAAAAGCACATCAATCTGCGAGCTTCGGTGGAAGGAGGGGTCTGCCAGCGGGAGGTTTGGAAGCTCGTCCAAGAAGTGCTGCGGTATCGTATATGAGGGAAGGTTACCTGCTAGTTGAGGCAGAACATATGCCATGGTTTAAACCTGCGACTTGAGCCTGGATGGCTTCGAACGATGGCTTAATAATGTTAAAGAGACGTTCAGTGATGAACGCCGCCTCGGAGCCTGAGTCAATCAGAGCGTGGGCACGGAAATTGGTCCCCAGGTGACAAATATTAATGAGTGCCGTGCACAGAAGAACGGTACTTGTGCTGGAGGCGAAATAGCTCTGTACGTTGGGCTGAGGATCGGATGAGCTGGGGGCTTGGGCGGAAGTCGAAGCCGCTACGTTGGATGAAGGAGGGGCACGATGCAGAAGCGTGTGATGCCTGGCCCCACAAGTGGAACAATTGTGGCTGCTGGAGCAGTCGCGAAGCAGATGACCTCTTGCGAAGCAATTTAGGAACAGCTGCTTTTTCTTAATGCAGCTGGAACGTGCATCAGCGGACATGTTGAGAAAGCGGGGACAAACTCGGATCGGGTGATTCTCTTTGGAACAGAGGTCCCACGTTCGCTTCTTCGAACTCACTTGGGTATTGAAAGAGTGAACCTTGTTTGGCGTCGGACTGCCTTGCGAACGGAATGGATTGGAGTGGTTTCGAGAGGTGGGTGGATTTTGGACGCCTTTGGAGGGTGGCGGATTCGTAGCCCCTCGTGAGGTGGAAGGAAGACGCTCTCAATAGCCTCGAGCGTCAGATAGCGCTGAGTGAGGAAGGAGTCGATTTCCTTCCAGGGCGGCACCTCTTTTTTGTCCGTTACGGACGCTTTCCACAACGCCCGGCTCAACTTCGGCAATTTGGAAGCGCAAATGGTGACAAGCAGACTATCCCAGTTGTCCGTGCAGACGTTGGAGACCGCTAGCGCATTTAGAACTCCTTGCATCGTACTTTGAAGATCCTTCAAGGCTCGAATGCATTCGGATGTTACGCGGGCAAAAAAAGGAGGATGTTGATTTGGTTGGTCACCAGAAGCCGATTATTTTCGTATCGGCTGCGGAGAGCCAACCATGCGGATTCGAAACCGTCATTATCGGATCGCCCCCGGGTCTTCTCGGTGAGGTAATACAGCCTCTCTACCGGAGACAATCTAGGATTGTTGATCACGACCGCAGTGAACAGATCCCGGAATGTGGGCCAGCGGACGTAGTCCCTTTGAATGCCTCAATATTGACGGGAGGCAGTCGACAGCCGCCCTGTTGGACTGGCTGTGAAGGAGGAAGAACTGTGGATGTGGCCAGTTGGGCATTGAGGTCACTGAGGCACTGCTCGAAAATCCCCATAGCATTCGCCGTATGTGTCACGGATGTCCGCTTTGGATTTCTGGCTCCTCGTCAGTCATCACCGCGGAGCAGTCCTTATATTCGGCCTCGACGTCCGTCCACATGCTGAGGATTTGGCCTCGACGAACCTCGGAACAAAGAGGCGGATGGGGCGGCGGTGATGCGCTCTGCCAGGTGCGACAGTCGGCCAATAGCGGCGACCAATTTGGTCCGAGCGACTGAGGTGGCGGATTGAGCCATTGTGATGCAGTGGCGAGAGCTGACGGGGCTGCTGACGAAGGAGCCCTTCGGATCTTGTTTGGTCACAGCTGGAACCTTAAGAGTGACAGGAGACGGGAACAGAACCGATTTGGTCCTTGCCGCAGGGCTGCTACTGGCTGCTCTTGGAGTGAGGGGTGCCTTGATTCTCTGAGTCGGCGTAAGGTGGGCGAAAGAAGTCACCTTACAATGCTTGCTATCTGCTGTAAAATCTTCTATGCTGCGTTTTATCTATTTCTTTTTGGGCATAAATTCGTACAAAAAGCTCACCTTTATGGCAACATACAAAATAGAGTTAGGTTCCGTTATAATTTCAAAAAAGCTCATGCGCCTCTTAATGCAGAACGAAATAATTGAGCTTACATTAGTAGTCAATGACATCTTAAAAGTGCATCAGAGCTCCAAATTCATTGTTTATTTTTGCGTTTTAGCTTAAAACCAAATTTAAAGTGAGTTTATTGTTATAATGTGGTGTTTCATGTTCAAAACTAGTTTATTTTCAATAGAATGTCTCAAAGCCGATATCTTTCAAATGAAGAGCGTACAAAAATGTTATGCTATCGTGAAATTGGGATGCCACTACCATTACTTCAAGAGCGTGACAAAGAGCGCCGTATTAAAAGCATAGCGGTTAAAGAAAACCACAGCGCAGCCCAAATTTGCCACGAACTGGCTCTCCCAATATCAAAGCGTCGAGTGCAACAAAATTTGAGGGCAGATCTAAACGTTTCATACGAAAAAAAACTAGTCAAATGTCAGCTACTTCCTCGATATAAACTGCCCGCATTGAATTTGCACAAGATCACAAATTTTGGGACTTGGAGTGGCAAAATATTATATTCAGTGATGAAAAAAAATTCAATTTAGATGGTCCAGATGGATACCAATACTATTATAGGGATGTTAGGGCTCCAAAGCAGGTGAAAATTTCTAGAAATTTTCAAGGAGGGTCACTAAAGAGTCCAATATGTTTCGTTACCCACAAAATGAACTCGGAGAAATATGTTCAACTATTGGACGAAGTTCTTGTTGATTTTGAGGAAGCGCATTATGGAGATTTCAGGATTTTTCAACAGGATAATGCCGCGATCCACGTGTCAAAGTACACAAAAACATATTTTGAAGACCGAAAAATTCCGCTTTTTAAAAGGCCAGCAAAAAGCCTTGATCTCAACCCTATTGAAAACCTTTGGGGCATACTTTCTGCCAAAGTTTACATACACGGAAGACAATTTACCACAGTACGAGAGTTGAAAGAGGCAATAGTAAAAGAGTGGGCGAAATTGGATATACCTTACTCCAAAAATTGATCCTTTCAATGCCAGAAACCATTACAAAGGTTTTAAATAGCAAAGGAGGCCACATTTAGGCAATTGAATACCCTTTAAGAATTTTAAATATAAGTAAATTTAAGAAAATACCATTCTAATTAAATTATAAGTTCACTTATTTCGTTCCGGAAAATATTCACTTAATTAATTAAAAATATTTCAAATGTATACAAAACTTTCTTTGGCCTTTTTTGACTTGTTATTTTGTTGACTTTAGTATAAAATTAAAGAAATTTAAAAATTTGGAAATTTGAAAATTGTATAAGGGTTTTTATGTTTGTAAGGTGACTTCTTTTCGCGCACCTTAGTTCCGGAGGCGGACGAGGTACGTAGCCGGTTGGAAGAGGTCACAGGCAAAAGCTGGTTGCCGTCCTTGTGACCTGTTGGCATATTCCGAACTCACAAACGCACAGAAAATCGGATTTGGAAGTCTTGGAGGGACAGAAGACTGATCTGAGTGGAATTCCAACAGAAAGACGCCAGGAAACAAATATAACCCACTTATGGAAGGCTGTCAGGAAAAAGGCCTCGAGCTTGTTGGAAAACAATAGTCGGGTCGACTCGGATTGTTTGAGATCACGGTGAAGTGAAATTTCTCAAACAATGAGTGACTTATATTGCGCTGAGCCGAGGAGAGGACCGGTTACACTGATTTTGGCAATATTTTGCAAATATTGTTAGTGCGGGCTCCTCCGTTTACCTTCTTTGACGCAGTCGTGATCAGAACTGGGTTATTTGCGAATGGACGGCGGACGGAATGGCATTTATATCCTCGATAGTTGATTGGAATGGGCGATAGTTTGCTCTTTATGTCGTTTTGGATCGATAAAGTGCAGATAAGCCTAGTCGCCGTAAGCGTTACCGGAAGCTACAGTCAAGAATATGACTGCGGAGTGGGCGCTGGAGAACTATCGGGAGAAATACCGAAGAAAACAGAAAAAATGGAAAACGGATGACGAAACGGTTTAAATTAGAAATCGTGGATCGTTCAATTTATTTGTTGTAGTGTCGGTGTGTTTGTTTGGAAATTGTCTTTTTATTTTTTATTTTTGGTCGAACGCAAGACTCGGTTACGATACCGATATTTTTTGGATTGCGCCACCTCTAATGCACGGAACAAAAAACAACAACAAAAGACCGAAACACCAATTTGCCAATTGGCAGTGGAAATTGCCAAATAATTACTATAAGTGCGCCGTGCCTCGGTCGCGAGTAATTTATTCGGAAAGTGGACGATGTTGGAGTTGGGGTAGCGATCATGAAAAGTGGCTGGAGTGCACGAATTGTACAAAATCGCGAATTTTATATTAAAATTGGCACTTGCGCGGAGTATGTATGTAGTGTATGGAGTGTATGTAGTGTATGTGTATGTATACCACCACTAGGGCCCTATGCTTAACCTATGTAAAAAAAACTGCGTCTTCGCCAATACGCAAAGAAGCATGACGCAGTCCCAATGTCAACAGCCTATAAAACACTTAATTTTAATTGCAGTTGCACTCGGAATGTGCCAGTGTATATTTTTATTGAGGTGGGTCGTGCATGGAATGCAGTTGTAGAGACACGGATGGAGATGTGTGTGTATGTACGCAAGCCGCTCTCACGGGCTGGAATGTGCGTACATACATATGTTCGGAATGCACTTGGTTTGAATTAATTTTTATTTGGTTAATATGTCCGCAAATCATGGACAGACACAAGAAATCGAAAGAAATTACCGTAGCACTGGTAGTTGGAGGTGAATGACGGGAGAACGGCCGGAATCGCCGATAATATGGCGGTGTCCAAAAAGGAAGAGACACGGATAACGGATGGCACAGAATGAAGAAAAAAGTACATATATAAGAATATATATATATATGTACTTATATCGCGGAACTCGGACTTTTCGGAATTATGGAACACAAATCGCGAATGGAAGGGATTTGTGGCACACGAAAATCGTACTTATCTTGGGATCCTGGTGGTGAAGGCGATGCCGTGCTCGAAGGCTGGATGTGGTTGGGGAAGGCAACGTAAATCCGGCTCGAAGGACCAATGATTGAGCGTAGAGGCGTGCGAAGTTCCACAGATGATTTCCCAAAGAAATAAAGACGAGAAAGCGAGTTCCAGTTTCTTCACAATATATAGGTTTATTCGTAGGGTTTAGGTAGTCGCGTGCAAAAGCCGGCCGTTTTGCTTAGGGTGGAAAAGCGAATTAATGTAGATCGGTGGCACTCAAGCTGCCGAGGGCTGTCGGCGGGGAGAGCGGGAGCGTGGGCGGGAGCGCAAGCGCAAGCGTGGTGAGTATGCGCGCGAGAGCGCGTCGCCGGGGGGAAAAATGCTCTTAAGTACGAGGGCGAGAGCGAGGGCGACCGCTTGTGTAGCTGGAACGCTAACAGCGATGTGTGGCTGGAATGCCCACAGAGTGGTTGCCCCGCCAGCGCCATCCTCACTCTGAACAGCTACCATCGATGGCGCTTCGATAGTGACCTATCATCGATAATGCCGATAGTGCTATCGATAGTTCTCCACCTCTAATTCTGATCCCAACTTTCTTTCCAGTTGTCGGGTCCCATGTGTAATACATGGTCCCACAAGTTGGTAGTGTTTCCACCTGTCTTAAGCATTTTTCCGCAGTAAATGCATACTGCTTTATTATTATCGGCCGTTTTCTTGAAATGCTGCCACACGTCCGAAGTCTCGCGCTTCCTCTTCGTAGCAGGAGCCGGAGACTCGCAATTTTCCTTAGTTGTTCCTAACATTTGCAAAAGGTATGAGTGTCTCAAAGTTGTCATGTGTATTACTTCTATGAATACTTACGGTTTAGGAAGTTTTCCATTGCCACACATCCACCGACGTTGCCTACACCACCAATTGAATATCTGAAAACATCTAAATACAGTAAATAGTTCAATTTATAAATATATTTTACACATACCTTCTGCGTTTCCTTTACTTTAGTGATGCTGAAAAAACATCGATGGTTGCCACAAAACATCGATGTTTCCAAAAAATTTAAAAACATCGATGCATCGATGTTTCTCCACCTCTAATGTGTATCGCTGTTTTGACGTCCAGGCAAGTTCGGGGGATCATGTAGTCAGATATACTGATCATGTCTCGGCCTATTGAACTGTGCCCGAAACCTTGCAGCGACATATTGCCTGATGCGACTAGGCGTTGTGCTGCCTTACCTGCAGTCAGTTGAGCGTGGATGTCCAGGGGGTTGATTCCGAGTATTGTTTCGAATGCTTTTGTTGGGGTTGACCTCAGCGCCCCAGTGATGCAGAGCAGTGCCTGCCGCTGAGTTCTATCCATTAGCTTGTTGTAGGTTTTCTTTTCTGTAGCCTGCCACCACACTAAGACTCCATTGTAATATAAGTGATTTTGTTGTTTAAGTCGGAGTTGCCCGTGTGGCCAGGCAACTTCGAAATATTTTTTATTAGTATATTTAGCTTAGTAACTAAGGGCTAGGGCTGCCCGAAAGGCCAGGCAGCTTCTGTTCTTGTCCATGAAGGGCATGGCCTTTTTATGCTAATTGGAATGGTCAGTGCTTCAGGTTTGACATGATATCGGCAACAGAGCCGATCTGCTATCAGCGTCGTCGCGTCATCATCTTCGGCTTATGATAAGCACAGATATGCATACGTATTTTTATACCCGTACTCAAAAAAGAGTTAAGGGGTATATTAGATTTGTGGTAAAAGTGGATGTGTGTAACGCAGAGAAGGAAACGTTTCCGACCCCATAAAGTATATATATTCTTGATCAGCATCAATAGCCGAGTCGATATAGCTATGTCTGTCTGTCCGTCTGTCTGTCTGTCTGTCTGTCCTTCTGTCTGTCTGTCCGTCTTCTTGAGCGCCTAGATCTCAGAGACTATAAGAGCTAGGGCAACCAAATTTGGTTTCCAGACTCATGTGATATCACACTGCTACAAGTGTATTTCAAAATTTCGGCCCCGCCCCCTTCCGCCCACACAAAGGACGAAAATCTGTGGCAGGCACATTTTTAAAGATACGATAAAACTAAACGCAGTATCGTAGAGAATGACCATATCTACCAGACTGCCGAATCTGAATCAGATCGGATCATAATTATAGCCAGAATGAAGAAATTAATTTTCAGTTGCTTCCCCTGCCCCCTCCTTCCAACGACAACGCAACTCATTTTCCTTCTCGCTCGCACACTCTGCCGCGTTCAGTGCGCGAGCAACCCTAGGGAGGAGATGTAGAATATGAATGGAACACGTACAATCTATATGTTAGATGTAGAATAGACATTGTATATGTAGATGTAGATAACAGATGTAGCAAAAAAATGAAAAATGTAAAATTTTTTTTGTTTTTTTAGTTCTAAAACAACAAGATGCGTAACGACCATACTGCTGAAAAGCACACGAAATTTTTAGCGTGGATTTTCGATGTGGATTTTCGATTTGTCTATGTGTGCGTTGTCTTGTCCGTGTTTGAGCGCTTGGTTGTGTGAGTGCATTTTTTCGTATGTTCTGTCGCAACAAAGGAATCAACCTGACATATTGACGACTTTATTTCTCCTAAGCCCGTGGCGCAGCGTACTAAGTGGCTGACTGCAAAGCGAAATTAAACGAGTTTAAGCCTCACTCAGTGCAAGTTTATTTATTTTTATCTTTTTGTTTTGTTTTTTTTTTTCTTTAACCAACTCTATCTAAAAATTAACTAATTTTCCCAAAATATACAAAAATTAATATACGCTAAAATATGACGCTAAAAATCATTTCAACAATGCCTTCCAAATCTACTTTGTTGAATATCTTTTAAAACGGAGTAGGGCAGGGCTGGATCAAGCCTCAACGGGGCCCTAGGCAACCATCAATTTGGGGGCCCCTCCTTTTTTTCCCGCCCCTGCTTTTTATACCCGTACTCAAAAAGAGTTAAGGGGTATATTAGATTTGTGGTAAAAATGGATGTGTGTAACGCAGAGAAGGAAACGTTTCCGACCCCATAAACTATATATATTCTTGATCAGCATCAATAGCCGAGTCGATAGAGCCATGTCTGTCTGTCCGTCTGTCCGTCTGACCGTCTGTCCGTCTGTCTGTCTTGTTGAGCGCCTAGATCTCAGAGACTATAAGAGCTAGGGCAACCAAATTTGGTTTCCAGACTCATGTGATATCCCACTGCTACAAGTGTATTTCAAAATTTCGCCCCGCCCCCTTCCGCCCACACAAAGGACGAAAATATGTGGCAGGCACATTTTTAAAGATACTATAAAACTAAAAACGCATTATCGTAGAGAATGTCCATATCTACCAGACTGCCAAATTTGAATCAGATCGGATCATAATTATAGCCAGAATGAACAAATTTTCAGTGGCTTCCTCAGCCCCCTCCTGACAACGGCCAAGCAACTCATTTTCCTTCTCGCTCGCACACTCTGCCGCGTTCAGTGCGCGAGCAACCCCTAGCGGAGGAGATGTAGAATCCAAATGGAACATGTACAATCTACATGTTAGATGTAGAATATACATTGTATATGTAGATGTAGATATCAGATGTAGCAAAAAAATGTAAAATGTAAAATTTTTTTTTTTATTCTAAAATTCTTAAAAATTCTACTGACTGAGTACGGGTATAAGTAGAGCCGCGTCTTTAGAAGCGACTCACACGTTCCTTCTCGTTTTTTTTTTTTCCCATGGATACGCCATGGGGGATGGAAATCTTCCTGAAGATACCAATGGCCCGTGCCATTGGCATGCACGATTCCTTGCTCGAGTCAAGACATACGTACTAAAACCACCCCCACACAACAACACACCTCTCCCCCCGCGGGATCACCGTTAGGTATTGCTTCGCGGGGAGGGGGGCCTATTCTAGGCCGCTACATGACGCTCTTTTTCGCATCGTCTCAGGTCATCCTGGATGCGCTTAATGAGACGGTACACGTACATATAGTTTTCGTCCGATTCTGTTATGAAGTTTACCAGTGACTCCGGTGGGGGAACACCTCCCGTCCATGGTGCGTATCTACTACAGCTGTAGAGTACATGCTCCGGGTCTTCTACTGCTGTTGGGCACGTAGGGCAGTAGGGGCTCGTGTCGTGCTTAAATTTATACAGGTAGCCACGATAGCCACCGTGACCTGTGAAGAACTGGGTTATGTGGTAGTCCACCATGCTTCCGCTACTGTCGGCATTGACATTGCCGAACAATCTGTGCGTCCATCTCCCTTTGCTGCTCTGGTTCCACCGTTCTTGCCATGTTTCGATGGAGCGTTGTCTCTCAGTATTCGGGCCCGTATTCAGTATAGGGCCGCCCACGCTCTCCTGTTCCGATCGCCTTGTATATATAGCCTGCATCTCTCTTGCCAGTATGTCCACTGGTAGCATTCCCGCCAGTACGAGTGCTGCATCCTCGGACACAGTCCTAAAGCCGGATATCACCCTCAGGGCTGCTAGCCTGTATGGTGCAGCCAACTTCCTCCTCAGGCTCTTGTTGTCGACCACAGCTGCCGCCCACACTGGCGCTGCGTAGAGCAAGATGGAGGACACCACGCTTGCCATAAGCCTTCGGCGTCCTGGCTTGGGGCCACCTACGTTCGGCAGTATGCGAGAGAGGGCTCCCTGCATCCTCGCTGCTTTTTGACCGGCATACTCCACGTGCAAGCGGAAATTTAGACGGTTGTCCAACATCACGCCCAGGTACTTGATCGAGTCTTGCGACTTTATCAGGTCAGCTCCTACCCTCACTGTAGCATACTCAAGCTTCTTCCTGCTCGTGATCAGGATCGCTTCTGTCTTATGGCTGGCCAAGTCTAGACCAGCTTCTCGCATCCAACTGGCAATTGCTTCGATTGCTGTGTTTGCTGCGGACTCGATTCCCTTGATCTCCTTGGCTACAACGACTAGGGCTAGGTCGTCTGCAAAGCCAATTAGCTGGCATCCTGCTGGTAACTGCAGTCTTAGTACACTGTCGTACATTAGGTTCCACAGGAGTGGTCCAAGAACCGATCCTTGCGGAACTCCTGCCGTGACCTCGTATGTTGTCTCTCCTTGATCCGTCTCGTAGCATAGCATTCTGTCTGAGAGGTAGCTGGAGATTATTCTCAGAAGGTACCCTGGCACTCCGATCCGGCGTAGTGCGGACTTGATCTTTGCCCAACTAGCCGAGTTAAAGGCGTTTCTTATGTCGAGCGTCACTACAGCGCAGTACTCCTTGGTGCCCCACCTCCATCTTTTCCCCTCTATGGCTTTCGCTGCGATGTTGACCACCGCCATAATGGCGTCCACTGTCGAGCGAGACTTCCGGAAGCCGTATTGTGCCTCGGATAGAGCTTCTGTCTCCTCTACGAAAGCTAAGAGCCTGTTGTAAAGAACTCTCTCCAGCAGCTTCCCCACTGTGTCCAGAAGGCATATTGGCCGGTACCCAGAAGGTTCGTCTGGTGACTTGTTTCCTTTAGGCAGCAGGATGAGACGTTGCCGCTTCCACCGTTTCGGGAAATGTCCCTCACCCAGACAGCTGTTGAACGCGTCGGCAAAGAGTTCCGGTTGGGTGGCCACTGCGAGCTTTAGGGCCCTGTTGGGAATTCCATCTGGCCCCGGCGCTTTCCTGTCCCCGACCCTCCTGGAAGCTTCGGTGACCTCCCTTGTGGACACTGGATCATAGGGAGTCTCTTCATGAACTTGGCTTGTTCCTTCCCTCTGTGGGTGCCTGGGAAACAATGCTGTCACTATGACTCGCAGCAACTCTGGGCATGTGGGTGTTGGTGTGCTTACTCCTCTGATCCTCTTGGTGACTACCTTATATGCAGTGCCCCATGGATCTACGTCAGCTTCGTCGCAGATGCGGCGGAAGTTGTCCCTCTTGCTACTTTTGATGGCCACTTTCAGCTCCTGCTTCGCCATGCGGAATTCTGCTTGCCTATTTTCGAAGTCCTGTCGGCCTCTCGCTCGTTGGGCGCGCCGTCTCCTTCTGAGGCAGGCGCTCCTGAGTTCGGCAATCTCCTGAGTCC